TTGGGGGAGGGGGCCGAACATGTCCTAGAGTGGGTCTGACCTATAGACTGGGGCTTGGGCAGTGGAAGGGCCAAGTGCTGCCTGCAGGAAGGGGCAATGGGTCGGTCCAGTGTGTCTTAGGGGGTGGGTTCTGGGTGAGCAGGGGCCAAGTGCATCTAAAATGGGGGACCTAGGAGAGTGACCTGTATCTCCTGGGGGAGTAAATGATGTACATCATTGGCTTTTAAGTGAGAGGTCTGACTGGCGTGGGAATGAGTGGGGAGTAGTGCCAATTGCATTAATGGTTGGGGGTAAAGGAGCAGAGGCTGAGGTTGGAAGAGGTTCCTCTTGGTTTGGGGGGGTGAGGTTAAAGACAAGTTAAAAACCTGAAAGATGAGAGAAGACAGGTGTTGATGTGGCTCCTAAGTGAGGGAGGGATTTCCAGAGTGCTGGGTGAGAAAATGGAGGACTGATTCTGTGTTTAGGTGGTTGGCAGGGGCATGTGTTCTGTGTGAAGAGAACATGTAAGTGGGGAGTGGTTTGTGTGAAGAAAAACTTTCCACTAGCCTTTGGAAAGGGAAGGTAGGATGTGGGAATGAGATAAAGGGGCTGTTGGGTGAAAAGGAGGAAAATTGTAAGCTGATCAGTGGTCCTGCCTGGCCTCATAGTTGGTGCCATGAACAGTGTAGGCAATGGGGAAGGAAGAGAGGTGATGGGGAGAAGCATGCGGAGTGTGTGTTGTGAAGGTTGGCCCTGGTTGTGGGTGAGTAGTGTGGCATCTCTACTTTGGTGGCTGAAGCTCCCTAGTTTTTTAGGGCTTGTACAGAAGCACTTCCCTGCTTGCCCTACCAAGTTTCTAAAGGGCTGCCTGATAAGGAAGGCTACTACTGATTTGTAACATCTTCACTTTCTTCCCTGGGAAACAATCTACAGCAACCCAGGTGCTGGGCACAGTTAAATGGTTCAATGTCCGCAACGGCTATGGATTTATTAACAGGTGAGCTCTTCACCCCCTGCTTAGACTGCTAGACTTATTGGGGCTGAGGCTGGGGGGCTCATATGCAGGATCCTGTAAACTGGCCTGGAGAAGACTCATCGTGTCTCAATTCTCAAGAGCCTGCTTTGAGGATCAGTCTTGCTCGAGCAGAGCTGAAATATTAATAATTCTCTTGTAAAGAGCAAATCATATACGTTAGGAGACACCTCAGAAGGTTCTTAGAGGTAAACCTGAGTGGTTTCAGAATACCTGATCTCAACTGTAAGTCCTACTTTGGTAGTCCTTGGATATGCTCTAGTGTTAAGTCTCAAACACTTGAGTCTGATTGCTCCTGAAAGAGGAGCTGGATCTTATGGCTTGGTTCCACTAGTGACTTAAACAGATTGCTTTTTCTGTCTGGGATCTTGATTCTTTCCTCCTTCTTACTTATGTAAGGGAAGAGTAATTGACTTGGAGAGCAAAGATTAATTGGAATTGTGACAATCCGCTACATGTCCAGCACTCTGGAGAAACTCTTACCTCCGTCCTATCCTGTAAGTTGTGCCCAAAATCTGGGCAGAGTCTGTGCCAGGATCCGCAGTTGCTCTTACTTAGCCCCCCACAGAAAACACGTTCTTAGTAGAGACTTCTGTCACCTCTAGTTTGTGAATACCAACCCCCTGAGGAACAAACTTAAAAAACAATAAAAGGGCTGGTAGCACTTTATAGACTAACAAAACATGTAGATGGTATCATGAGCTTTCATGGGAGCAGCCCACTTCAGATCTAGAGTTATGAGTTTAGGATGTGGAGACCCAAAATAAATAGGGGAGAAGAGAGGGGAAAGAAGAGGGTGGGAAACAAGGAGCAGAAGGAATGAAAATATCAAAAGGAAAAACAAGTAGGCAAAGCTGGTGCCTATAAGCAGGGCTTGACAAGCAGTGACGAGCCCCACTTGCCAGCCATGCGGTTTGGCATGCTGCGCATGCGCTGATCATGCTGTGGCGCCCTGCTGGGCTAAAATCTACTTGCCACAGGTGAGTTCATTGCTCTAATTGTAGAGCCCTGCCTATAAGCACCTGAAGTTTGGATAGTTAAAAGGAAGCAGATAAGGATCAAAGGGAACAAACACAAGAATCCACACAGAGCTGTTGGCACCTTCATTGAATGTTAGGTAGGTAGTGTCCCAGCCATCCATTGTCCTGATTGATGAGATGATGATCAGAGTGAGAACTGAATTTGTGGATGAATTGTAATTCCAGTGCCTCCCTGTGTATTTGACTAGAACTGGTTTGACAAGACAGCCACCTGGAGATCTTTTAGAGCATGGGTTCCCAAACTGGGGTGTGTGCCCCCTGGGGTGGGGTGTGAAGAACTTCCGGGGGGGAGAATGCGAGGCAACCCAGCCTCCTCCCTCCCCATCAAGTTTTGCTGCCCTGTTCAGTTCCTTTTTTGCTCAAGTTTTGCTTCTATTTTGGGGGGTGGGGTGAGGGTTTTTCAAAAATCAAAGAGGGGTGCAATGCCAAAAAGTTTGGGAACCTCTGTTTTAGAGAGTGATTAGGTAGATTGAAGTGTTTCCCAACAGGTTTCTGTATGTTCCCTTTATGGATAGTTGATTTGTGTCCATTGTTTTTTTTCCCATAGGGACTGTCCAGTTTGTCCAGTGTATATATAGCAGTGGGACTTTATATATTGTCCCCTGAGGGAACAACACTGAATAGGAACTAGGCTTCAGCTGTTTTGATTAACCTGTGCCTGAATGATGTAACTAAAACTGAAATAGACCTGGTTTTGTCCAACCAGTTGCCAGGCAGCATCTCACTTCTGTTAGACGTGGGGGCCTGAAGGGGTTCCTCACCCCATTACATAGACTTGGGGGCCTAAGAGGAAAGCTGGAGGGTGATTGTCAAAGCTTTGCGAGTTGATCAGAAAAACAAGGGTTTAATATTACATGACTCCTGGTCCTATGTTTTGTTAGTCCATCCATTTCAAAATCCTGCTTTGCAAGAGGGAGTTGTCTTGGCAGGCCAATGAAATATAAACCTCATAGAGGGTGCATAGATGTAACTGCTGGATTAGTAAATTTTAATGTCAATGCTGCCTTTTTAAAATGGTCAGCACTTTGACTTGAAGTGGATTTATATGAAGACCCAAAAGTCTTTTAAACTGTTTTGTACTAGAAATCTAGGTTTTCCAGTTTGCTCTTGATGGAATCTATGTGACTGGAGACTTAGTCAGAGTAAAGTAGCTTCTTTGGTGTCTTAAACAATAGGATTAGCACTCTGTGCTTAAGCAAGTTACCTTATTGGAGGGAAACTTCAAAGCTGAAGGTGAGGGGTGTAGTATCTCTGAGACATGACATCCTAATGCTTTCCTCTGCAGAGAGATCCAGCAAAGATGAGACTTGACATTCCTGATGCTCTTTGGGGTTAGGCTAAACAGTTTGTAGTACTGTTTTCCACAAGTTTAAAAAAACTCAATCTGTTCAGATACACAAAGCATGATCCATTTCTTCCTCTGGCTATCAGATTCCAAAAGGAGGCTGGTAAGTAGTGTAGAAGCTGCATGTCAATTGCACCTAATAGGTGAACCTTAGGGATGTTAGCATGTAGTCATTTACACCAGAGGTGAAGAACCTAAGGCCCAGGGTCTGGATCCAGCCCCCAGCTTGCCCAGATCCAGCTTCCAAGGCTGGGGGCTCTTCTCCAGTATTGGGGAGTCTATGCTGGCCCTCCAACTCCACCATCCCTCTAGGGGATTGGAGTACTCAATATCTACTATCCTGGACCCCCTAGGCAATAGTGTGCAAGGGGGAATGTCTTTCTGCTTCTGTCAGGGGAGCCACATCAGTGAGGGCTTGTTTAGGGGTTTTTGCTGCTCATGTGCAGCCCCCAACTGATATTTCTGTGGGTCAGCAGCTCCTGACCCAAAAAAGGTCCCTACCCCTGGTTTACAGGATAACCTTGGCCTTATCAGTTAATCCTAATGACTACATGCACCCCCTCTTGCTACCTCTGTATCAGACAGCAAGGGGGAGAAGCAGGAGCTAGCTTTTAAGCCAGCTTTTCCTGTGTGTGCTGTCTCCTATGGAGCAGCCTGCTGCCTCAGAGGCAACAGTGTGGGGTAGGGGTCAGGTAGGAGACAGTACATGTGGGAAGCCAGCTTTCCAGCTGGTGCCTGCTGAGCTGCCTGCCCCTCCTCCCTGCACTGGTGCCTCCCACAGAGGAAGCAGCATGGGGGGCCAGAAAGGAGCTGGTGTTCAGGGAAGCTGTCTTAAAAGCTGGCTTCCTGCAAGCCCTAGTTCCTGCCTTCCCCGTATGTAAATGTGTAACCCCTTAAAAATCTAGCAGTTACATGTTTACACAAATACATGTTAACATCACTAGTGGGCTTTGGAGCTAGAATGGGTTATGGGGAGTGGCTGTCTAACAAATTCCAATAGCAAGGTGTTAACTAGCAATGCAATAATTCTCTCCAAAGTTGAATGATAACCAGTGTTAGCTCCTCATGGACATAGCAGGGGCAGATTCCCCTCTTGACATTCTGCTTGAAAAATAGGTGTTTAACTGCTTTAAAGTCCTTTATCACCCTCCCCCTCCTCTCCCCTCCTGATCTTACCTAAATAGATTGCATCTTATTGGAACTTGTGGTATGTTATGTCCCAAGAGGCAGAGGGGTGTGTCTGATCACAGCTGGGTTCAACCTCTCTGACCTTGGTAAATTGTTTGAACATCCTCAGCTCACATCAGCATGACCCCAAAGCTGAGGATATGGGTTCAATTTCTGGTGTGCTGGGTAATAGGTGGGGCGGGAGAGTTAAGCGCTCTGCCAAGTTGTAAGAGTATAGCTGTGGCGCTCTCATTGCCTTAGCTGCAATGCCCTCTAGTGGATGCCAGGATCTTCTGCACTCAGTCTGGGCAGTGACCTCAAAGTAGCAGGAACTGACACACCTTCTGAAGGATGCAGCTCTTGTAAAACAAGGGACAGAGGGCTTCAGTGGACTGGAGAGCATCTGGTATCCCTCCAACAAATGGCACCTTGGGACTCTGTTTAAAAACGTGATGCCCTTTCCCTATCTTTACCCAAGGTTATTAATCTCTTGTATTAGTTCATCTTTTCTTATCTGCTCTAAGGCTGCAGGAATGGTCTGATTTGGCCACATTAAGGGCATATCTACACTACAACTACTCCCACTTCAGTGCTGTTGCTGTAGCACTGTAATGTAGACTTTCTCCATTGACAGAAAGGGTTTCTCTGTCAGTGTAGGTAACCATGCCAATAGGAGGCATTAGCTGGGTTGATGAGAGAATCGTTCAGTTGCCCTAGTTGCATCTACACCAGGGGTTAGATTGACTTGACATTACAATGCTTATGACACACAACTTTCCACAGCCCTGAATGACACAGCTGAATCAACTTAAGTCCTAGGTGTAGACCAGGCCTCAGTGATATATTTTATGCACCCATTGCACTACAACCATTAGTCTACTGCACTGATCCTCTTCAGATCATTAGTGCTGTAAGCTGGGGACTCTGGGCACACTCAGCCTTGCTGCTAAAGATGCAGGGCTCCCAGGAGGCATTGACAGATTCTGTCTAACACCATAAAGTTACATATGATCTGTTCCCTGCTCTAAAGTGCATAAGCAAGGCACTGGGAAGATGTGGGGTCTGCAAGAGTGGAGGGGAGAAGCCTGGCAGCTGAAGACTGAAGGCAGAGGGCTGGGGCAGTGAGTGCTGAATGAGGGGGAGAGGATTATTCCGGGCCTTGTGTTGTAATTTGTATATGGGCCATATCACCATGCCAGGCACTGAGACCTGATCGCTAAGAATTCTCTCCATCCCTGCAGGAACGATACCAAGGAGGATGTCTTTGTGCACCAGGTAAGACCTTGGTCAGTTTCAGTAAGTGGTTCATGGCAGTTTCAAAATTTCAGAGGGGCAGTAGTCCTGTGGCACCTTAAACTAGCCAAAATATGTAGAAACATGAGCCTTCATGTGCAAAACACACTTCAGCAGATGTTTTGGTTAGTCTCTAAGGTGCCACAGGACTACTCATTTTTATGGCAGTTTCAGTAACTATTTGACATCTGGCATGCCAAACACTCAGAGGTCCTTCCTCATGCCCTGGGCTGAGCACAGCTACTTCCTCGGTTCCTCCTGTTCCTTTGTGGCATTTGCAAGTGTCATATGAATAATGGGACTCAGTCTTTCTGGGTCCAGAGGTGAGGAGTGAATTATAGCCCAGGGCATCTTGCAAAGCAACTGGCACCCAGCAGCTACAATTCTGTCTTGCCAGGGCCAGCTGGGCAGTGTTGGGGGGGGGGGG